TATATATTGAGTAAACGGAATATATACTGCAATTATAAAAGAAAGTCGATTTATTCAGTACGGCGGACACATGCTCCTGCTAGTGACAGCCTATATAAGTACACTTACACCAAGATCTGCCTAATCGCAGTATACAATACGTGACAATATACGCTATAAAGTCACAATATGTACTATATAAGTATATATTTACCTCTAAATATACTATATAGTACTATGAAGGCGAGCTCTCGTGCACAGAGAAAAATAGTGAGGTCATTGGAATTGATATATCAATTTGTGTACGAACTAATTCCAAAATGGTGTTGACACTTGTATCAATTTGTCAGTGAAACTAATTCCACAATAATTGGCGGGCGAAATGTGATTCTGACATGAATGGGCGTTTATGATTTATTCATCATAAATATATAAATAAACATATTCGGATTTCACTGCAGGCCTCCAGCTATTTACGATATTAGTGTTCGTCTGCGAATTTTATTTTGTTTATAGATAGATAGTGATATATATACATATATACAATCAATACATAGGGTAGTATTCTTGCATAGGATATAGATAATTGATCTCATACAAAAAAAAATTGTGTGCAGAAAGACGCGTAGTGAAATTAACACACTCTACCCCAAATTTGTTTTTAGCATCGCCGAATCGATCCACAATTTTGCGGTCGACCCAATAAAAAGAGCATTCAAATACATTACTCATACCCTTGAGTATAGCTCTACACGTTCCAACCTCAACAACCCTAAATCCATAACAATACAGCATATGTTAGTAGATTATTCCGAGTCACATTCCATTTCTATTCAATTAGCCCATTGATCCTTCAACGCTACACCGAGTGTAAAGAACAAGACATATTTATATTTAACCAACAACAACAAAATACCATCTTCGTGGCACGTCCATCACATCCATCCAACATGTTTGCTTTCAGTCGGTTGGCATGTACTGTGAGCCGTGCACTATATCCCTCAGCAGTCACTCGTGCTGTACCACGTGGGCGCATAGCAACGGCGTCAGTGTCACAGCAACGCCAATCATCTACAGCCGAAGAAGGACTTACAGGTTGGTGTATATTGCAATTGTAACCTTATATCACTTTGTGAATAAAGCAGTGTATCAATTCGTATATTGGCTGTCTTTGAATATAGCGTGTGCATCAGTTCGTACCTTAAAGTAAGTACATTGATTATTATATTAATCCTTAAACCGAGTGCACTCGCATTCCTTTGTATTTTCATGCTTTCCGGATGAAGTAGGTGCATTATAATATAATGTTTTATGATGCTGTCCGAATAAATCAGATGCATTGAATCGTATGATGGTGATATACTCAAACTAGATCCCTTGAATATAATGATATGAGCGCGAATAATATCAATCCAGAAATACGTAGTACGAAGGGCCTTTCCTTGTTGATAGTCCTAGTCTCTTTGTCTCAGTTGTTACCTCAAAATAAGCAGTCCAACTAACTAGCGACTCACAACATTTGCGTTTCATGGTCAGTTGTCCTATGTACATGTATAAGTCTTCGGACCAATCTGTTCGAATAGCCCAACAGGCGTGTTTCATGGTCAATCGACCTATATATATATATATATGTGTGTGTGTGTGTGTGTGTGTGTGTGTGTGTGTGTGTGTATGTCGTGTGCGTGTGTATGTGTGTGCGTGTATGTCGTGTGCGTGTGTGTGTGTGTGTGCGTGTATGCGTGTGCGTGTGCGTGTGTGTGTGTGTGTGTGTGTGTGTCTTCAGACCAATCTGTTCGAATAACTTCACTGTGGCACAGGCGTGCAGGAGATTGCGTTAATTTATATGCAGCTGCAGGGTAGTCTGACGCAGTGCTGGGATCATTTGAATTGGACAACGTCTTAAATGTACATAGTAGACGTCCCAATTGTGTAGCGGATTGAACACTTAGGGATGCATTTGTTTCTGCGTTGTTATTCAATCTCATGAGGTTTTAGTGTGTAGTGTCTGATGCGGTGTACTAAGCTCTTGAAACATGTATATACGTGTACACCACACGCCCATATTGTTTGCAACTCTGGCACATGAATATGACAAAACACTGAGAAATCTTGAATCCTGAGAGGGGCATATCATGTAAAACTGTGACATGATACGCGTGTGCACGTATATTAATATTCAGCTTTTGTCAATTAATCGGTGCGCTCACAGTGGGCCATGGCTCGGTTAATCAAGAATCATACAAGTACCAATTCCGTGGATGTGCTACATAGAGCACATCAGTAGTCCCATAGAAAGGCCCGGAAACCATGAGCACAAGGAGCTAGGCCGACAAATGGCTGGCTCCCAGAACAGTGTACATATAGCCGTAGACAGGCTTAACAATAAATCCTCATGCAGACCAGATCTCAATATCAAGGCTCAACTGTACTCTGATCGCAATTATTATATGCATGTATAACAGACACGCGCACGCTGGCACAAGAATTACGGGAGCGAGGACTGTGGAATCAGTGTACAGCCACGGAAGAGGCCCTGGATCTGCACCTGAAAGACAAAAAAAGGACCGTCTACTGCGGATTTGACCCCACAGCCGACTCTCTACATGTGGGCAATCTGCTCATGATTATCACTCTCCTGCACTTTAGCCGCGCGGGACATAAAACGATCGCCATTGTAAGTAAATGAGCTCCAGCGTTGTAGATGTGTCGTACTTGGCCTGGTTGTGTAGGTATTTTTATGTGTAGGTATTTTAGGGATAGATTATGTGTAATATTCGGCCCATTCCAGTCGAATAGTTTTCTGGCAAATGCTTCATAGAATTCAGCTGCCGAGCTAGATACAGTATCATCGCCCTTACATATGCTTGTATGCACGCTTCAACACTTCCTGACTGCATAGTATGTTTAGGTGTAGCAGTGTTAAATACTCGCGTGTTTCGAGGTGGTTTCACCGTGCACGCTATTGCTTTGTATATACAACTTGTCATTAAGTTTATTGCATGATAAACCGCACGTGTAGTTGCTTGCCTGTTGGCGGCAATCATGTACGTCATGGCAGGTATCGGATCCAGTACGAACGGACGCCTCACATGAAGTCATCTGTGCGAATGTACACGTTCACGCGAGATTGGAATTGATGATCCATTATTTGAGCAGAATGTGCGTAACCAGGCTTTATCGTACATATTGTGGGTATTTTCTGATCTAGACTCGTGTCACATACAAATACCTTGTGGCGTATACCCGGACATAGGATCATTTCTATCAAATCTCATCAATCCAGCGGGCCTCGGCTCTTTTTACAAACAATCATATACATACAGAAGCTGCTGAGATCGAGAACTTACAACGTAAATAATCTCCGATACGCCGAGATCTTCGCATCGCATACATCTTACATACAGAAGCGTCTATTGTGTATTCCAAAGTAGGCGTTAAGTTCTAGTCTCAGCAATCTCCAACACAACACAACACAATCATCACATCTCCCCCGTCGCACATACATCAGCGTCTGTTATGTATTTCTAGGTAGGCGTTAAGTTCTAGTCTCAACAATCTCCAACACAACACAATCATCACATCTCCCCCGTCGCACATACATCAGCGTCTGTTATGTATTTCTAGGTAGGCGTTAATTTCTAGATTCAACAATCTCCAACACAACACCATCATCAAATCTCCCCGTCGCACATACATCAGCGTCTGTTATGTATTTCTAGGTAGGCGTTAGGTTCTAGTATCAACAATCTCCAACACATCACAAACATCACATCTCCTCCGTCTCACATACATAAGCGTCTATTGTGTATTTCTAGGTAGACGTTAAGTTCTAGTCTCAACAATCTCCATCACATCACAACCATCACATCTTCTCCGTCTTACATACATCAGCGTCTGTTGTGTACTTCTAGGTAGGCGTTTAAGGCGTTAAGTTCTAGTCTCAACAATCTCCAACACATCACAATCATCACAACTTCTCCGTCTCACATACATCAGCGTGTGTCATGTATTTCTAGGTAGGCGGTGCAACGGGTTCAGTGGGTGATCCGAGTGGGCGAACCACTGAGCGGGATCCACTGGCCAAGAGCAAGAGCCAGGTCAACTTGGCAGGCATTGAACAGGATCTCAAGCGGGTGTTTGCCAATGCTAAAGGTAGGTACTTTTTTGTGTACCTACCGTTTTTCAGTCTCGCCTGTATTAAATCCAGGATACATGTGGATAGGCTAGCACTTGCCCGTCTACGTTGCCAAAGCATGTGCTTCGCTACACCAACGAGTTTATGGCTGACATCCACACGCACGAGCCTGACAAGAACGGCTTAGACATCGCATCTGTTTTTTTCTACCCACCGCTTACAATTGCGTTGGAGATGGTAGCTACCTTTGGCTCATCCAGTGTTCCCCTTATTTCCTCGGCATGCACAGCCGCCTATGCTGAGGGTACGGCATCGTTTGGATTGGCAGTCGTGGACAATGCAGAGTGGTATGCGGACATGACACCTGTGACCTTCTTGACCGAGGTACGTATCATCGCCTGGCACTGACAAAGTGTGTTCGTATATACTCTTCATACAACTGGCTGATGTCATGAGAACTTTGGGTGCTGCAAGTTGTTTAAGATATTTCTGGCATGCACTCGGTGTGCGCTCGGTTGCTGTCCTTAGGTATTGGGCACTGCCACATGAGTCAGCGGGCGGTGCACATTGTTGAGGCACACGTCACTTGCCTACAGTGAATGGTCTATAGTCTATGTCCATGAGGTGTTGTATTGAGAAAGTATAGACGAGCTTAGGCTGGACATCTTCACGGTGTTTTTCATTTAGAAAGTATAGAGGAGTTTAGGCTAGACATGTACATACTGTACTCATGAATTAATATACTGTATGCTTCATTGTAGTGCTTTTTCTGGGTATTACTAACAATACTCGTAGCCCGAGTCTTTTCTGATCAATTTGAGACATTAAACATTTAAGTATGTTAGGTACGAAACTGCTCAGTCGATCTTTATTGCTCGCCCCTGTATCAAGTGAACTGTCACACTATCGGCTCTAAATTACAGTAGCGGGGACATAGAATATTGTAGTAGGTGGCGGATCCATATAATCGGCCCGGCCTACAGTGCTTATCACGAAGCTCGGTCTTTGGCATTTCCTCAGCCCTGGGACATCTCATCCGATTGTCTCTTTCTATCTTGTAATTCCTCCCGGTCAACCAGCTTCCATTCTGCAATCATTCCCACGTGTTCTTCATCTACCAACTGGTCCTATCACTATATATTGCGCGGGTGCACTTTGCGATTCCGGTTCATCTCCATTCCTGGCTTCGTGCTGAGGTTCTACTACTTCTCTGCTTACCTACTCACGTTCTAACGATCCACCTGAACTGTCTTTTCGGATTGTCTTGCAGGTCGGTCGGCACCTGCGACTCAACCACATGCTGGCGCGTGAAAGGTATGACACATTCACATCCCGAATACTGGTGATAATATATCTCTATATCTCTATTCTATGTGTCTATCTTTAGAACGTAGCTGGTGTGATTGAGTGAGAGTGACGGTCGGGTCGATGTGATTGAAGAAAAGGCAATTATCGATATTTCTCTGAATGTTTAGTTTTGGCCTGGTGCTACAAAGACTCGTGCTCAGATATTTACCGGCCGGTGAAAAGTTCTTATAATGAGCGATTACAGTGGATCTGTACGTCATCTCTATATCTCTATTCTATGTGTCTATCTTTAGAACGTAGCTGGTGTGATTGAGTTAGAGTGACGGTCGGGTCGATGTGATTGAAGAAAAGGCAATTATCGATATTTCTCTGGAGGTTTAGTTTTGGCCTGGTGCTACAAAGACTCGTGCTCAGATGTGTACCGGCCGGTGAAAAGTTCTTATAATGAGCGATTACAGTGGATTTGTACGTCAATGCACTATAAATGGGGTCGTGTATTCTGGCCACCCACTTCAGGGATTGTACATTGCATGTAGAGTGGGTGAGTCAGAGGCAGCAATCCGTTCCATAGTATTAAACCCGACACACGCTACGATCGAGAACGAGTGTGTATTCATTATACAAGCCTCAGCACGAGCCATTGGTACATCCTCAATAGTTGTCACACTGACATCCAACTCATACACTGCACAGTGTCAAGTCTCGGTTGAACAGTGCGGAGGGCATATCCTTCGCCGAATTTGCGTACCAAGCGCTGCAGGCATACGACTTCCTGCATCTCAACACCCACAGCGACTGTACGATCCAGCTGGGTGGAAGTGATCAGTGGGGCAATATCACCGCAGGCAAGTCTCATACAGTCCTACTAATGATGATCACCGTATTTCGCATGTGTTAACTGAGTGAGTATGCATGTAGTATTGAACTCTAAATACATAGCGTCTGTACGATCCAGCTGGGTGAACGTGATTAGTGGGGCAATATCACCGCAGGCAAGTCTCATACAGTCCTACTAGTGATGATCACCGTACCTCGCATGTGTTAACTGAGTGAGTATGCATGTAGTATTGAACTCTAAATACATAGCGACTGTACGATCCAGCTGGGTGGAAGTGATTAGTGGGGCAAAATCACCGCTGGCATGTCTTATACACTTCTATAGACAGAGAATTCCGTATGCTACATGCTTCTATAGCGTTAATTTTGTTAAATAAAATACCGTATCTAAATGTTTGGCGGTAGATATGGCGCACAGTTCTTCATTATTGCCCACCCGAGAGTATTCGCATACACATGCTTTCTATGAAAGCGTTAGTGCTATTCGCTGAAGGCACATATATTTCTATTAGCGTTTTGGTAACGCGCTCAATCCGGTACTGTCTGCCACACAAAATTATCCGTTAACGTATTGGGCCACGAATACAGGTTGCGAGCTTATCCGAAGAACCGCCAGCGGCAAACCGTCACAGAGGTGCGTTGGATTTTGCTTTATCATTTTCCCACATTTAAGAGTGTTTCTTCTCATAGTGCTACTAAAAAGTACCTATATACGTCTATTCCTTATACTAATATTGTTCTTCGCATACCCAACTAACTCGTTACATTATACCTGCGCGCTGGTGTGTTTCACTGCAACAGCTTTGGGCTAACGATACCACTGCTCACTACGGCGGCCGGTGTTAAATTCGGCAAGAGTATGGGCAATGCTGTCTGGTTGAATAGTGCGAAGACAAACCCCTACGAGCTCTATCAGGTATGTGCGTGTAGCCCAGGGCATTACAGGCTCATCTTTCTGTATATAGGGGTATATTTAACGATATGGACTAGTCTGTATGACTAAATAGGTAGAAGCGCCTGTGAGTATTACGCTTTCGCAAGAACCGTGCTTTGGAGCGTCGCTTGTAGCAGTAGTGCCTGAATCGGCAGCGGATTTGTGAAGTAGGTACTCTTGTCGTGTCTGTCTGCGTGTACACCGTATAAACGTGCGCATTGTGTGTAGTCTCAGACACGTGTGCAGCGTTAGCTGAATTGGCACACTTCCCCATAGGCTTCTGAAAATCGACGTGCGCTGCAATATATTTATATATATATACATATATAATGTATGTATGTATGTATATATAGATATATATTTATATATATATATATAGCTGCATCTGTGTCAGTGTCCTTGTCTGTGTCTGTTGGTGGTTGTGTCTGTGCCTGTGTCCGTGTCTGTGATTGTGTGTCCGTGTGTCTTTGTCTGTGTCTGTGTCTGTCGTGGTGTGTGCGTGCGTGTTTATATACTCCCTTATACTTTGTATCCCACGGGTATACAGTGTTCCGCATTAATACCCGCGTGTCAAAGAGATTGACTATGTTGGGGATTCTGGGGTGTTTTATTTTAATGCCTACGTGTCTAATGGTAGCGTCTGTGTATTGGGCTACATGCCCGTGCAGTAGTAAACACACTTGCTTACACATGCCTTTGTACCTGGTGACTATAGCGTCTTTGACTCGCTGTTGTCCAGCCGCCTTGGTGCGAGCGTTTTGAGTGTGTGTACATGTCTGGATTGAAAGTAATCAATGTACACGTAGTACTAGCGATAGCCTTTCTGCACCAAGAACTGCTATGCTACTTTAAAGCATCCAGTCAATTGTACTCGTACCTACTGTATACCAAACTTTTACTTACATGCATACAACTGCTGAACTCGAGCATAACAAACGTCTGTCCTCAACTTTCTATACAAGAGGTCGGATCACAGCGCAGCAGACGTATTAGGTAGCTCAGACAAACACTCGCATCTCATACTGATGAAACAGCCCCTTGTATTCGGCTCTGTGGTGTGTGTATTCACAGTTCTTTATCAACACGACCGACGATGACGTTGAGAAGCTTCTGCGTAGCCTTACATTCACACCACTGGATGAGATCTCGCAAATCATGGTAGCACACCAGGTAACCCAGTGGCGCACAATGCGTAGTCGTGGCTGTGGCGGGTGGGATGTATGTGTGTGGTGAGCCGTTTGTACGTCTTGCGGTGTAAATGCGTGTATGCAGGGGACATATTTTATGGGTGGTTGTGATCTGGGGTGGCGTGTATGTGTGGTAGTATGTATTGAGTGATATCGTATGAGTGTGTGCATTTCATTTGATTAGACATAGTCCACGTGTCGTAGGCCTCTGGTGTGGAGTGAGTGCATATGGTACCTAGACTGCGAAAACCCTCCCGCAGATAATATCGGTAAAGTGGAGGAGCAGTACGCTTGTAGACTACAAGCGAATTCAACAGAAACCGGTAGTGGGTATATGCATGCCGATTTATATGTTGCGTGTATGTGGATAGCATTATATCGACATATCTTCTACATGAGCATTCACATACAGAGGTGTATCGCTATTTCATCGCATTGCAGACAATGGTAGTGTAGTGCTGCTTAGCAAGGTTACGGAGCTACTGCCTCACCGTAGATTTCTACAACAATCCCAACAGTCAGTCTGAGCTTTTTGTATTATTCGAAGGGCATACACATCTAATAAAACTCGCAATCCCGCCCAGTAAGATAAAATAACAGCTTTCGAGCCCAACTAATCGTCTTATCACCAGAACGCACCCGAGCTTCGCACAGCGCAAAAAGCTCTGGCCAAGAGCGTTACACAATTGGTGCATGGGGAAGAGGCAACACTGCAAGCTATAGCGACAACAGACTCTTTCTTTGCCCAGGGTAAAGATGCGAAACCCACCTCTTCGCGTGACATCCTGGAACGTAGGTGGTGTGCTATATAATCCTGTCAGTTGTGTTGACGGTGGTGATTGGCATAGGTTGTGTTTATTGTGTTATTTGTTTGTTTACTGAATATATTCTTGCCTGAAGCTCGCAATTTATTTCGCATTTGCCCGCTGCCTTGCCTATCACAAGTACACAACTCCAGCAAACGCGTGCAGTACAGTATCCCCTACTAACCTGTGTGCGCTTGTGCCACCTGTCCGTTGCATTGTCGTTTAATATATTTGATACAACGCTCACTCGCCTGTACCTTTGCACTCTCTCGCAGGCTATTCTGGTGCACCCTCTGTATCTATCCCCATTACCGATCTCACCAGCATGTCAGTGATTGACCTGGCACTAAAGGCCGGGGCAGTCAAATCAAAAGGTATGTCTCTACAATATGATTGAATGCTAATACATGCTGAGCTATTTATACCATTGCATGAATGTTTGTATTTTCTCGAACGGTTCCATTGGGCAGCGCACTAACTAATTCGATACAATATACTACTTTGAACCGACACCACTGTGTAGGTGCTGCGAGACGATTGATAACTGCTAAAGGCTTGTACCTAAATAATGAGGTGATTAATTAGTTGTAATTTGTCTTCTTTTTATACTATTGCACATGCCATCATGTATGTAATCCGATGTATCAGTTTGCAATTGCCACGTTCAATTCTAGCTTGTCGTTCATGTACATTTCGTCGCACATAGCTTGAAGTATTTATCCCAGGTTGGCTCACAATTACAACACTTGCAATTATCACACAAAGACAATAACAGATCCGAATCAAAAGCTAACAGAGGGAGACGCCATCGATGACAGTGTCACACTGCTGCGCACGGGCAAGAAGTCGTACGCTGTGGTCGAGTGGGAGAGGTGACGGACAGTAGCGACAGTATGACTATAGACTTGCATAATTAATGACAAATAATATGTTGGTTTAATATGTACAGCGTGCATACAGTAGTTATCAAAACACTAAATAATGAAGTAATATAGTTTTCTTAGTGATATAGTTTTCTGAGAATTTCTCGTTTCAATGGGCTGCTTCTGAGATTAGCGGATTAGCAATTGACCCTATCATATAGTATTCTAAACTAAGTTGCAAAAGTTCTTTTCTATCCCTATACCGTACGGACGGTCGTAGCATGATGTTGTGTACTCGCATAAACGCTAACATCTCCACCAGAATGTGCAGGAGGTTCACACATACCCTAACGTTCCGTTGACGCAGTGCCCAATTTGTTTCGCTGCCTTTCAGCTATGGGCAATGGCATTTCAGGTACTTGAGTTCTCCTTCAAACTGTGTTGCTACTTAAACATGCGAGGAAACCAACTGTTATATAAGGAACATTTACGCATCTAAAACCCAACCCTTTAGACCCAGCAAATCCCGGTTAGATGAAACAGCTACAATGCAGCAAAATTATCATTTACATATGACCGGCTAGTTGAAGCGCTGATAGCACAGCGAAAAATACACAAACGATCAGATTCAAATTCACGGCCCAGCGAAATCACGCACAAGCCACCAAAAGCTTTCTCGACGCTTACCACTGTTTGTATGCGCTTCCTTTTGTGCGTTTCCCTTGCCATATCTCGAAACATCCTCACAACCATGAAATCTCTCCGGTTCTCGAAGCACCGGATTCTTCGACTGTTTCGACCACGTGACCCAGTCGTCACATCGTCCAAAATGAGACCTCCAGCTCTTGTTCAGCCACGTTGAATAATCGAGACAAGTATTTAGTGATCCCACTCTCAGGCTCGCGAAACTCTGTCAGGTCCACATCGACAATGGTGCCACCACCTTTTCACCAACTATTCGGGACTTTTCATGTTGGTAGACAGCAATTTGAAGCTCCATCGTCCACGATCGTCCTCAGCCGAGATTTCACGTTGGGGTACAGGTCAAACAGCTCATCCGCATACAGTAGTTCCTTTCAGAACGAAGACACGAGTTTCCATCTGGTACAGTGGCTAGCGGTCGGGTTGCGGTTCTCCAAGAATTTGCCTTATGCTCCGCTGCTTGAGAGTATGGGCTTGCCGGAATTGGGCGGACGCTTCACCACCTCACGGAGCGGGATTATCACACTAGTTGAGACCTATATACTTGCCTAAAGGATGATTGTGTATAATAAAAGTGTATAATTCCACATACTGTTCTATGTGGATTGTAGATCTTATCAACTGTATTGGTTACAATATGTGTTTGTGAAGAGGACATCTTTTTACTTTCAATATGATGATAGTGTGGTTTGAGAGTGACTTAGAAAATACGATCGAAGGAAACAATAATATGACGAGTCTCAATTGCGAATCGCTCAGCTAGGTGAGAATCATGATCTGAGTGAAGCGCAATGAGCCTATCTCTATTTTATAATTCACTAGACTCGTATTTACATGTGAGCGTTGCTCTAACGAGGAAAACTAGTACAAACCGTTCTTCCCGCCATATTCCCGACGGCGCATATTTTTTTTAAATAATTGGACCTGTACCAGAAACTCAGGATTCTTAGGTTTGATTTCTGATTTTGGTATTTTGTTATGGCTTCTCTAGTACCTATATGTCACAGTCCCCCAACTTTTCACTAGAGTGAGCCTGTGAAGTGGTAGAAAAAGGTATCTTTGGTACTATAGTTCTGGAGGTTGGTGTCTTAGCACAGCGGAAAACTTGTTCTTTATGAACCGATATAAATTCTTACTTTTATTTCAAAATTTAACATCCTGTTATAGAAGTTTTCAACTACGCTTATTGGAGTATGTTGTAACGTGTGCTCTCGCTTGGTATCAACTTGGCAACTTGGCTTAGGAAAACGTTTCTCATCGGTGGCTCTACAACCGAATCTTTATTCCTTATCCCTCTGAGTTAAAGTGTCAAATAAGTGGGAATGTCCCTTGGTATCCGTGAAACTGAGGTAAGTTCCCTGCTTCGTGCGCCTTTTGTTGCTTGCCGTTCGTGAGTCCGTTGTTTGTGACGATGTCGCTTTTCTCGGCCTTGTCTGTCTGAAGTGTGAAAACGACGGCGTCCGCTATATTCTTCTCGTGTGTCCACGTTCTTTCTGTGTCTACCTACTGCAGTAGGTACTCTTATGATGCACCGCCTGTCGTCACTCTTCACAGATGGTCTAGAATTGAAGTTAATTGTGTTCTGTGGGTGGTATATGGTTATTGGGAGTAAATTTATCCGCCTCGTTTGCTGTATTATGCAGCACAAACTGAGTTCGGGTATTCTGATACTATTGTGCCAATAGGCTATACTTTCTTGTGACTTTCCCATGGACCTCCGTAGGAAGCCGCTATTTTATTATTCGTTTCCCCTTTGTATCGGATTATGACGTTTCTTTCGTAGAAATATATGCGTTGCTTTTAAAACTGCTCATGTTTTTTCTTGTTTTCAATGCTACTGTCCCGTTGAGGACTTATGGCCAATTATAGGTTCTCCAATCGTTGATATCAAGTCACGCCTGTGCTTGGTGCTTCTGTTTTATAGCCAGTAAGTTGGTTTTGTCTTCGCCCAACGTTCACGTTAACGTTAAATCGGGAAGATTTATGACTGTGTGAAGATCGCAGGTTATGTGCCATATGTAAAAACAGTAATCATGAACACCAATTGTCTGAATCTTGTCCCACAAATGTTCGTAGTTTGGGTATCGAGTCTCTGTGTGAGCGTTCGTTCGCACCTAGTACCTTGGGTTGGTATGATCGAGATACAAGATGTTTTGGAGATTGTACAATGACTTTCGAAAGAATATTTTGTTCACCGTGCCATCATAATTCGGTCGAGGAGCGAGGATGGGGGTGAACCAATGCCGCACCAGACCACGGATGCTATCGTTATATGCTGGCTGGCCTGGATCGGAAGTATCATAGGCGGAACCAAGAAGCGCGATGACTTGGTTTGGATCGAGATTTGGAAGTAGTACTTCAACAGCGTGATTAGCCGGGGTATGGGGAACATCTGTTGATGTGTCAGAGACGGGTGAGGGTACGGTGGTTCTTCTACATGCTGGAGAAAAGATCCAAGGTGTTCGTGGAGAGTCCAGATACCGTGGAAGTCGTGGCACTCCTGTAATTGTTGAAGGAGGTCAGGGCCAATGGGCGGCAGTTTTGGGCCTACCAGGATGCGTCGGATCAATTGTTGGATGCAGGTAAAGTGGCTGCTGGTGAATTTGTGGCTACCGGGGCACAGACAGGACAGAGATAGCCGTCAGTGCGGTAATCGAGCAATGTGAACATGTACGTATTTGTAACAATCATAGCATAGAGCCGGATTGGTGGCAGCGGTTGAAACTGTCGTGTCTGGCTCTGTCTCGGTTTGATGTTGGCGGTTTACCCAAAACCAGTTGGTAGTAGTATTGGCGCCGGGCCATAAAAATTGCCGCGATCTCCTTGTTGGACCAGCGTTTTGTTGAGTTCTTCTTAATGTCGTCAAAGCGTTGGCGGAGGGCTACATGGCCGGGTGTACGCCCGCCCGTGGTTTTGTGTATAGTTTCAGGTGAGCATAGATACAGTACGGGAAGCGCAGTGATGGTTTGTCGTGGGCCCAGGCGGGTTGCGCCAGAGGGGTGAGCGGATTTATGCTGGCCATTGAGTTGTGTTGTATTCCCAGGCAAACTCCGGGGTAGTCCGCGAATGGTCGCGCGGGGAGCAGGCCACAAAAGTGGAGTAAGTTTCGTTTGATGTTAGGGAAACCTAGGGTATTGAGTGCCCGTGATGATGGCTGTAGCTTGGATGAGTGCTGAGTTATAGCGCTCGAATAAGGGGTCCAACGCATCCTTACATATAGGCGGAGCCCAGGCAATAATGTTCAGGCCATATGTAGCCGTGGGTAGGATGAATGTTTTGAACAGCACCAGTCGGTTGTGGGCGTGTCGCCAGCTGAAACCATGGATGCCATAAGCTCGAAAAAAGGCGATACCCAGAACAATGCTGCAACCAGGGATTCCATATGTCTGGCGAGGTTGATCTCTGGTATTCCGTGAGAGAGTGGGGGCCCCAGATATTTGGAGCGTTTCGGCTTGGCATCTGTGGGCGCCATCTTCAGGTGGAGGAAACGAGTGTTCCAAGGTGCGTCTGCGAGCGTCGGCGTGATAAGCTCACCATTTATACGGAGAGTTGGCGCCGCGTGTCGCAAGTCGGTAGATCGAATTCGAGGCTTATTGACACCCTGTTCGAAGCCAGATTTGCGTCCCCACGCATCAATGTCGTCTAAGAAGGGCTGGAGCGCAACCGGTTGGGGGACTTGGATCCGTGTGTCATCGACAAATAAATAAGAGCGGAGGAGCTTCGGCCGAAATTGTGCTAGCGTGACAACTAAGGAATCCATGTAGATAATAAAGAGCTGGAAGCCGTCGATTGAGCCTTGTAGGATGCCATTCGTTCTATGTGTAGAAATACGGCCTCTGGTCAGTCTAAAATATCAAGATCAAATGAGATAACACATTGGTTTTTATTTGTATTTTAAATAATTTAATACAAGTTCTTTTTTCAATATTTCCAAAGTGTTCTAAATTCACTTTGATGGCTCCAATAGCCTGAGTATTTGGTATGACTCATTTAATTGGACCTATTTGAGACGATAGTAGATGTAGGATAATATAAACTAAATTTTATAATCTCTGAACTACTACTTACAGGTTTTGGTCTTCCCGCCAATCTCCAAAATCCAATAAGTCTAATTCTTTCTTTAACTTTTCTTCAGATGGAACTTTATCTATATTAGCTAAATGTATTAACTTGACTTACGTTCTTATGTCTATCTACAAATTAGACATGTGGTCATGAACACTTAGTACTTCTAGTGAAAAATTTTCAATAAAGAACAGCTAGAGGTATGTCCTGTGTGATCGAGGATATTAAGGCTCTTACCAAGAGGCGGTCCCGATCATTCTTGCACAAGCTACCACTGCTAAATCCTAACTGACTCAAATTGTATCTTTGTTTATATAACATAGTTTAAAACATAGAAATACCCATCGAAGTTTACATATG